GAACTTTACTCTACCACTGTAAACCAGCGCTAAACTAGGACCAAACAAGTACCAAACTTGAATTAAAGCAGGATTAAACCAGGACCAAACAAGTACAAAACCATGTACAAGTAGACAAGTCAAGACCAGACCCAGGAGAGACCTAAACTGGGACCAAACCAGGACTAAACCAGGACTAAACCAGGACTAAACCAAGACTAAACCAAGACTAAACCAGGACTAAACCAGGACTAAACCAGGACTAAACCAGACTAAACCAGACTAAACCAGGACTAAACCAGACTAAACCAGATTAAACCAGGACTAAACCAAGACTAAACCAGGACTAAACCAGAATTAAACCAGGACTAAACCAAGACTAAACCAGGACTAAACCAGGACTAAACCAAGACTAAACCAAGACTAAACCAGGACTAAACCAGAATTAAACCAGGACTAAACCAGGACTAAACCAGGACTAAACCAAGACTAAACCAGGACTAAACCAGGACTAAAACCAAGACTAAACCAGGACTAAACCAGGACTAAACCAGAAAACCAGACCAAGACTAAACCAGGACTAAACCAGACTAAACCAGGACTAAACCAGGACTAAACCAAGACTAAACCAGGACTAAACCAGGACTAAACCAGAATTAAACCAGGACTGAACAATGTCTTTAAAGTCCTACTGTGGAACATTCCGGATAAAGCAAAGCTCCATGAGCTGCTGGAAAACCCTCCACCAGAAAAGTGACATAGTTCATCTTTAACACAAAGTTGTGTGTTTAAATGCGTCTCTTTAAAGTTTAGTTTAAATAGTGTAACATATAGTGAGCCCAGTGTACACATGGTTGCTAGGTAACAGTGATGAAATTCACTAGTGAATGATTCTCATGGTTTATGACCGGGAAGTTAAAATGTAGATCTATGGTTAAACTTTTTTTTTTTGGTAAAACCCAAAATGCAATAATTCAGGCTGTCATAGGCACTTTAAGTTCAGAGCCATTAGCTGACCTTTGACCTTGAGCCTGGGGTCATGGGAAGTGGAGTTTCCAGTGAAATGAGCCTCAGTTTGAACAAAGTCTAAATATTTAGGTCTCATAAAGTGGTGCTCCAGAGCTGAATGCCTCTGCTGTCAGAGCACTGTCCCCGCTGTTTAAAGAGAACAGGACTTTAATACTTTAGAACACATCAGCAGTTTAGAGTTTAAAGGAACTGTTTGTTTCTTTTTCATGTACCACAAACACAACTGGACCTGTGTCTCCAGAGTCTTCACCTGCAGATGGAGACACACCTGCATTTGTCTCATTCTCAGTATTTTACAAACTATAAGTCGCTCTGGAGTATAAGTCACACGAGCCAAAAAATCTGTAATAAAGAAGAAAAAAAAAACATATATAAGAGGCACTTTTTGGGGGAAATGTATTTTATAAAATCAGAGACCAGGAACTGACATTTCCTGTGTAAAGTCAAGTTGTAGTAATAAGAATAGAAGAGAACAACAGACTGTTAACGTCACATATGAACAATTCTTCAGATAAACTATAACATAAACAACAGAACAGAACAAGTTTAACCAAACTCTCCATCTCACTCCAAATCACTAAATCTATTAAATTCTTCATCCTCGGTGTCACTTTTGAACAACTTGTCTGCTTCCTCTTCTGTGTCGCTGTCATCAGACTCAGCATCAGTTCCAGTTAGAATTATTCGTGTCTTTGTGAATCTCGACAGGATGGTTTCAGTGTCACTGAAGTCCAGACTTTGTCCATCCATCCAGTGACTTCAGGAAAGTTTCATGGTGCATCCTCCTGGTGTCACAAGTTTCTCTCTCACTCCAAACTTTCTTTCTGCTGCTTGATTATCGTTTTCAGCTGCAGATTTCACAACTTGCAGTTTGTTAATCTGCAAAATCTGATTTTGTTTTTGGGGCATTTGTGTTCAGTCTTCTCAGTCTTTGTCTTTATAAGTTTGTTGAAATGTTAAATAGTTCAGTGGTGCAGAAGTAATGGTGCGATCGACTGACATGATACAAACAGAACAGAGGCTCTTTCTGCAGGAGACATGTGCAGTAGAGTGAAGTGACAGTGGTACAGGAGGAACAGGAGCAGCACATACTCACACACAAGACTAGAACCTCTCACTGCTTCACTGAAACATTTGTATATATAAGTCACACCAGAGTATAAGGCTACGTTCACACTGCAGCCTGAAGTGACCCAAATGTGATTTTTTGGCCCCTATGTTCCTGTATCTGATCTTTTAATGACAGTCTGAACCACACAGATCTGATTTTTTCAAATGTGACCCAGGACACTTGGATATGTGCTCCTGAAACTGATACATATCTGATCTTTTGACATGTGACTTCAGTCTGAACGGCCAAAGTTGGTAACCTACACGTTACCAACAAGCCACAAATGTACACAAACGTTCTTCTCGTCATACGTAAAGTGTAAATGAACTCCGTGTGACTGAAGTGAAGCACATCGCTATCCCACCACACGTTCCTTTCAACAGACTGTCCCACAAAACACCATGGCCAAAAACCTGGTCCTTCTCCTTCTCAATCTCCTCCTTAAAACAAGTAAGTTGTTCATGTTCTGGCTCCGGTACGAGAGGAACTTTAAAATCTCCACGTGCACACACAGAGCACACAGAGACGCTCGCTGTGGTTGACGTCGTCATGTCTCCAGTGTCACATGTGGGACACTTTTGGACTGTTTAATGTTCACACTGGCGTCACATACAAGTCACATTTAATTGGAAATGTGAACGACCTCGCAAAAACATCGAATTTCACAAAAAAATCCAAATTGAGTGTTAAGCCCTGCAGTCTGCACTGTTGGGCAAGTGACTTTAAAACTGTTATGTTATTTATGACTTCTTACTGTCATTTCAAAGTCATTCTTTATATTATAATATTACTGTATTTAAAATGTAAGACATTACATTACTATTGCAGCACTTTAAGTTCCTCTCACCAAAATAACTGCGAAGATGCTGAACTTTTGCACTGTATATGGACTGAACCAGGACTAAACCAGGACTAAACCAGGACTAAACCAGGTCTAAACCAGGACCAAATCAGAGCTGAACCAGGACTATAACAGGACTAACCTCGGACTGATTCCAGGACTGAAGAGGAGGCCTAAAACAGGACTGACCCAAGTCTAAACAGCGTGGAGTTCTGTCAGTCCTTTTGCCCGCGGTTAACTGACAGGCTACGCGGCCGCGTCTCCGGTGTTTCACCGCTGCTGATATTGTGGTGATTTTAGTGAATATATATGAAGAAAAACCCACCACTTCAATCCAGGTTAAAAAAGCATTGTAACGCGCGTTATTGACATTTGTCAATATATATATATATATATATATATATGGCATATACAGGGAAAAAAAAAAATATATATATATATATATATATATATATATATATATATATATATATATATATATATATATATATATATATATATATATTTTTTTTTTTTTCCCCTGTAATGCCACATTACTGCGTTACAGCAAAAAGCACCACATTACAGTAATTTGTTACTTTTATAACACGTTACTCCCAACACTGACAGTCTGAACGTAGCCTAAGTCACAGGAAATACCCAAACCATGAAAAAAGTGTGACTGAGGCGATGTTCAGACTGCAGGACTTAACGCTCAGTTCCGTTTTTTTTGTGAAATCCGATGTTTTTGTGAGGTCGTTCACATTTCCAGTTAAATGTGACTTGTATGCGACTCCAGTGTGAACATTAAACGGCCCAAAAGTGTCCCACATGTGACACTGGAGACACGACGACCTCAACCACAGTGAGCGTCTCTGTGTTTACAGAAGTTGTCCAAACATGGACGCAGCATCGAGCACCTGGAGATTTTAAAGTTCCTCTCGTACCGGAGCCAGAACATGAACAACTTACTTGTTTTAAGGAGGAGATTGAGAAGGAGAAGGACGAGGTTTTTGGTCGTGGTGTTTTGTGGGGCAGCGGCAGCGACGTCCGTTGAAAGGAACGTGTGGATGTGGAGATGGAGCCAAGAGTGGTGAGTGGTGATGTGCTTCACTTCAGTGACACAGAGTTCATTAACAATTTTCACCTACTTCAGCGCAGAATAGTGACGTTTGTGTCTTGTTGATAACGTGTAGGTTGGATGAATGCACTTTGGCCGTACAGACTGAAGTCACATGACAAAAGATCAGATATGTATCAGTTTCAGGAGCACATATCCAAGTGGTCTGGGTCACATTTGAAAAAATCAGATCTGTGTGGTTCAAACTGTCATTAAAAGATCATAGAGGGGGCCAAAAAATCAGATTTGGGTCACTTCAGGTGCAGTCTGAATGCAGCCTTATAGTCTGAAAAATATGGTTTATGTTCAGGCTCATGTGAAGCTCAGAACCTCCAGACTTCCCTCCCTGAGCTGCAGAGGCTGCACTAGCACTGACTCATTGGCTTTGGTTCTGGGGTTTAGGGAGAGACTGTTCAGATCAGAGAGAGAACTTTTATGTTTAAACACACAGGATTTCAGCTGTGAAGACCAGGGATGTACCCAAACACAAAATCTTTCTTGGAGCAGCAAAAACAGACTTTAACTAGTTATTTTTTCATTGTGTGTTGTTGTATTTTCTACTCTCCCCTGGGAATAACTTTAGAACATGTCCAAGAATTGCAACAGTACATTTATCAAAACATGTCTTCTTCAAAAAATGCTTTGAAATCAAATGGGGTCAGAGTTGCCAGTTAGCGGGGTGTGAGATGGGTTGCCAGATAAGTCCAGTTTTATGTATCGGGTTTTTCTGCGTCCCAGACTCAAAGGCAGTGTTCATGGGGGAAAGGGGAAGTCCATAGAATTATTAGGAGGTTTTTTAAAGATAAGATCTGTGTCTGGTCTGTGAGATCATGTCTGAAAATGTGTGACAAGTGCTTTGAATCTCGGCCAATTTAGAATCAAACTGATGTAAACGCGCACGCCCCAGAGCCGGAGGGTCACAGGTCCGACTCCTAGACAAAGTGTTGCCTTTTTATGTAGAGTTTGCATGTTCTGCCTGCGTCTGGTGGGTTTCCTCTGGTTTCCTCATCAGCCTGAAAACAAGCATAAGAAAAAAGTAAAGTAGGTTGAAGACAATTAAAACAGGACTAAAGCAGGTCTAAGACAGGACCAAAACCAGGACTAAACTAGGACTAGACTAGGACTAGTCTAGGACTAGACCAGGACTAAACCAGGTCTATACCAAGAAGAACCTAAACCAGGATTAAACTGAGACTTGTGTTTTTTTCTCACCAACATTGTGATTTCAATTACATTTACAATTTATGTTTTAATAATAAAATTCTGTTCAAAGTTCACATTTTTAACACATCCAGAAGAACTGACCAAAAGACTGAAATCTGAACTGACAAACAACAAGAATCACATTTCAGAACATGTTTGTCCAGATCTAAACTCAGTGGTGCAAAGTAACAAATTACATTACTGTAATTGAGTAGTTTTTTATGAGTAATTAGTAATTTAGTAAGTAGTTTTTGAAATAGGCAGTTTTTACTTGAGTACATTTTGACCCAAGTATTTTACTTGCCTGCGTTACTGAGTAAAATCAGACTGACAGAGAAAAAAATTAAATGTGAAAAAAAAACAAAAAAAAAAAAACAATCTGCCATAATTAAAAGTAAATATTGTGGGTTTGCACACGCTGCATTTTCCCTCTAGAATGTTGAGTCAGTGAACAGAACCTCCGTCTGCCTCAGGTCAACCTGATGATGCTGGAGCCACAGAGCCACAGATCGAGGTCGTCATGGAAATGTTTCATTTCTTATATCAGCGTCAGTGTGAATGTGTGCAACATTTTCATTTTACATACTTTGATTTTGGTTTTCATATTTTTCTTTTTTTTATTTTAGTGTTGTGAATTGGACCATATAATTCAGAATTTGTTAAATTGTTAATTTGTTAAATTTGTTAAATATTTTATGCAGTTAAAGTTCTAAGTTCTATAAAGGAAAAGTGAGTGTTAAGCACAGTTGTGTTTAAAATGTACAAAGTTTGTCTGTGTCACCTAAAAGTTGATTCAAACAACTTGTTCTGGATTAGATTTATGACTCATCCTTTTTACATCAAATCACTGAAAGTAAGAAAGTCATTTTTACTCAAATTACATTTTAAATTAAGTAGATTTTTAGATGGTTACTTTTACTTTTACTTGAGCAGGAATTAAGCAAAAGAAGACTTGAAAGTCAAGATACTTTAACTTAATTACAATTTTTCTCGACTTTTTCCACCTGTGCCTAAACTACAGAGTGAGATGTTTTTATACAGAATAGACAGAAGATTTAGTTGTTTGTGGAGGAAACGATGATACTTATGATATTTTAAAAATTGCAGCTTTTGCTAATGGAGATTTTAATTTGATTTTAATTAATCTTGCAGCCCTACATTGAAGGTTGGGGCAGATGACACAGGGTTCCCACGCTCATGGAAATCCTGGAAAAGTCATTCAAATTCAATAAAAGTTTTGGAGAAGTCATAGAATTTTAGTATTTCTTTCACGCGACTCCAGAATTCTGTTCAGTTTTCATGAGGCTGTTCTAATTATTTGTGAACATCTGCGCCTTTTGTTTAAAAGAGACAAAATAAATGCACTGACAGGATTTTAAATGTTCAACAATTATAATCCCAAACCATAAAGTGAGTGGAAAGAGTTCACATTTCAGATTTAGAACTAAAAGTCTGATCAGTTCTACACATGTAGGTGCTGTAAAGTCATGGAAAATTCACTTTAGCTCATGGAAAAGTCATGGAAAAGTTATGAAATTTTGTCAGTGAAAAAGTGTGGGATCCTTGATGACAGTAATTGATTCATTTATTCAAATCATTTCAAGTTGTTTTTTTCAGAATTGTCAGACCATTTTCGTGTTTGTGTTTGTGTTTTTTATTTTATTTTTTTCACTTCTATGCTTTTGTTCACTGAGCTTCATATTTGGATTGGTGTATGTTTTATTAGTTGTGTTTTGTCTGATCTTTAGTGTTGTGTTTTCAGGGTGTGATCAGTGAGCTGAGGATCGTGGGCGACCCCAGAGCCGCAGAGAGACAGTGTGAGGAGGAAGAGGACGACTCTGACATGGTACAAACTCATCTGTTTCATTTATGTCTCACAACTGAACACAAAACTGTAAGAAGAGCAGCAGAATCACACAGGACAAGTACACAATTACATCTTCAGGATGTTTATGATATTTATAATAAAGTTTGGAGTCCAGCTGGTTTAGTTTAACTCACTGATCATATCTGAACTCAGGATGACGCAAAATTTGCATCAATTATGTTTAAATACAAATGGAAAATATCTATATGAAACATCCATGGATTTATCAGGACTAAACCAGGCCTAAACCAGGTCTAAACCAGGACTAAAGCAGGACTAAACCAGGTCTAAACCAGGACTAAAGCAGGACTAAACCAGGTCTAAACCAGGACTAAAGCAGGACTAAACCAGGTCTAAACCAGGACTAAACCAGGTCTAAACCAGGACTAAAGCAGGACTAAACCAGGTCTAAACCAGGACTAAAGCAGGACTAAACCAGGTCTAAACCAGGACTAAAGTAGGACTAAACCAGGTCTAAACCTGGACTAAAACAGGACTAAACCAGGACCGAACCAGGACTAAACCAGGACTAAAGAAGGAATAAACCAGGACCAAACCAGGACTAAACCAGGACTAAAGCAGGTTTAAACAAGGTCTAAACCAGGACTAAACCAGGACTAAAACAAGACTAAACCAGGACTAAATCTGGACCGAACCAGGACTGAACCAGGATTAGACCAGGACTAAACTTGGAATAATCAAGGACTAAACCTGGTCTAAACCTGTAATAAACCAGGACTAAACCCCAGAATAAAAACCAGGATTAAACCTGGACTAAAACCAGGACGACAGTAGGACTAGACTATGGCACATTTAACCAGGATTAAACGAGGGCTAAACCAGAATCAAACCAGGCCTAAACCGGAACTAAACTAGGAACAAACTAGAACTAAAACAGGACTAAACCAGAATCAAACCAGGGCTAAACCAGGACTAAGCAAAGACTAAGGCATGTACAAGGAGACAAATCAAGACCAGACCAAGGATAGACCTAAACTGGGACCAAACCAGGACTAAATCAGGACCAAAGTAGGACCGAGCCAAGACTAAACCAGAACTAAACTGGAATGTTACTCTACCACAGTAAACCAGGACTAAACCAGGACTAAACCAGGACCAAACCAGGACTAAACCAGGTCTAAACCAGGACTAAACCAGGACCAAACTAGGGCCAAACCAGGACTAAACCAGGACTAAACCAGAACTTTACTCCGCCACAGTAAACCAAGACCAAATCAAGACCAAACCAAGACTAAAACCAGGACTACACTAGAACTAGACTCTGGCACCTTAAACCAGGACTAAACCACCAAAACTAAACCAGGACCAAATTAGGACTAAATCAGGACCAAACTAGGGCCAAACCAGGACCAAACCAGGACTAAACCAAAACTAAACCATGACAAAACCAGGACTAAACTAGAACTACGCCAGGACCAAAGTAGGGCCAAACCAGGACTAAACCAGGACTAAACTAGGGCCAAACCAGGACTAAACCAGGACTAAATCAGGACCAAACCAGGCCTAAACCTCGGTGGGTAGCGCCCCCTGCAGTTCAGTGTTGTCCTCACAGATGGCTGGTTTCCTGGTAGAGCCGTAGGACTTGGGTCTCAGTCTGCACCTGGTCTGAGTCGATGGGTGGTCTGACCAGCAGGGGGCAGCGTTCTTTCCTCTCTCTGTGTAAACAAAGACAAATGTTTACTTTCACTTTCAGCTGTCACTCTGGTCACACGCTCAAACAGCAGGGGGCGCCGTCCAGAGTCACTGACCCTTGAAATACTTAAACATCTCAAGACTGGATTATAAAACTCAACCAGGACTGAACCAGGACTGAACCAGGACTGAACCAGGACTGAACTAAACCAGGACTGAACCAGGACTGAACCAGGTCTAAACCAGGACTAAACCAGGACTAAACCAGGTCTAAACCAGGACTGAACCAGGTCTAAACCAGGACTAAACCAGGACTGAACCAGGACTAAACCAGGACTAAAGCAGGATTCCACCAGGACTGAACAAGGACTAAACCAGCACTGAGCCAATTTTAAACCAGGTCTAAATCAGAACTAAACCAGGACTTAACCAGGACTAAACCAGGACTGAACAAGAACTAAACCAAGGCTGAACTAAACCAGGACTAAACCAATACACTGTGTTGAAAAATAAATTCAGTGATCTTATTTATGAAATGTCTTCATATGACAAACCAGCAGAGGGCGCATGGACAGCAGAATGAAACAATTCAAAATCAAATACAAAACATTAGCAGCCAAACATGAGCCTCTCGCACTGAAGTTGTTTTCCTGAGCACTGAACACACAGACACATTCAGATAATGTTCTACGAGGGATGTCAAAAGGTCTAGATCAGAGCTGGGCACTTATTTTTTCCATGGGGCCACATGAGAAACAGAAAATATTGTAGAGGCCAAAATGTTAAACTCAATTGTGCATAATATGAATTGTATTTCTTTATAAAAATATATATATATATATACATTGTTGTGAGGAGCTGCTCAGACTGGGAAGAGTTTATGTTCTGACTAAACAATGAAAAAGTGAGACTGCTGAACAAAAACATGTCATTTAAAAACACCTCTAAAGTAAAAGTAATGCAGCTTTAGTCCATGCATGAGGTCAAATGATAAAAATATGTTTATTTTGTTTTTCCAAATAATCTTAAAGGGACCGGTCAGAGACAACCAAAGGACTGTATGTGACCTTGGAGCTGGACAATGCCCAGATCTGATCTAGAATGATGTTGAGTTGTATCAGAACAAGTGTCAGAGCACATAGACCAGTACACACACACGAACCAACATGAACCTATACATACTACTGCACCACTGACGATCACACACATATAACACACATGGGAATAGAACAGGAAGTACTACTATCTACAGTGTTGGAAAGGTTACTTTTAAAATGTAATCCCCTACAGATTACAGATTGCACACCCCAAAATGTAGTTTGTAACGTAATACATTAAATTACTTAAAGTGAGTAACGTAATCTGATTACTTTGGATTACTTGATATTGTCATGTTTTTTTAAACGACATGAATGTAGCAACCACATCCTGAAAATTCTTGTTTGTTGTCTTCAAATTGTCTGAGCCCAAGTCTCCATGAATAAACAACTGTTTACTGTAGAAACAAAGACCACGAGATCTTAACATAAGAGGTTTTGTCTGTTAAAAGACAGAAACAAGATCAGCCTTTCCTTCACCAGATTAAAAAATATTATTGATAGAGAAATTGTTTTTTATATGAGATCACCTTAAATTCTGTCAAACTACTGTTAGGTGTCATGTTGTTTAGACCTGGTTTAGTCCTGGTTTAGTCCTGGTTTAGACCAGGTCTAGACCAGGTCTTTAGTTCTGGTTTAGTCGTGGTTTAGTCCTAGTTTAAACCTGGTTCAGTCCTGGTTTAGTCCTGGTTTAGTCCTGGTTTAGTCCTGGGTTAGTCCTGGGTTTAGTCCTGGTTTTAGTCCTGGTGTTAGTTCTGGTTTAGAGGCGCACAGGAGGAAGTGCGGTTTACGCGAGAAAACACGGTCCACACGCGGCACATGAGACGGCGGTGTCCGCGCTGTAACTACGGAAGGAGACGTGGTCCGCGGGTTCTCAGGTTAATGACGATGATGAAGGTGTGTGTTTGTGTGTGTTTGTGGGTGTGTGTGTGTGTGTGTGTGTGTGTGTGTGTGTGTGTGTATATGACAGTAGTGCAGATATTATGAGTCTATGCAGGTTGTTTTCACCAGTGCCAGTAGCTCCTGTTTCACATTTAAGTTGTAGGCGATTTTATATTTGTTTTTTGTTTTTTATATATATTTCACATCGGGAGAAGAATTTCCAAGACACAAATGCGTTTTTACCAATGCACTGCTGCTTCCACTGTGTGACTGACACCACCAACTTTAACATGACGTTTACATCGCTATTATTGCGCGCGTTCTGTTTGGGTTTCCGGCAATGAGTGGAATTACTGAAATAAAAAAATAAATAAATGCGAGGTAGCACAAAATGTGAAAACAGGAAAATACCGCCTTGTAATCCACTTATTTCAGCAAAGTAACTGTAATCCAATTACCACTCATTGAAACAGTAACTGTAACGGAATACAGTTACTCATAATTTGTACTCTGATTACGTAACGGCGGTACATGTAATCTGTTACTCCCCAACACTGACTATCTAATGCTGTTTTTATTATCACTTTGGTCTCAGAATCACTATTTTGGGAAAAAATGTAATTTGATTTTGTCTGCTTACAAATAAAAAAATTGATGGCAAAAAAAAAAAAGAATCATTATAGACCTTTTTCACAACGGCTGCAAGTGCCGCAATGTAGCGTAAACGTAACTTATGTTAATGCTTTTCTGTGGTAAAATATCTGTGTAAATATGTGTGTAAATGTGTGTTGTTTTCTCCAGCAGCTTCATAAATCTGCCCCATCACCAAATCTTCAACCAACAAACTCCACAAAGAATAAACATTCTTCATGAACAATTTATCCACAACTATCAAGAGAAGAAAGACCAAAACTTAAAGGAAACAACTGACCACACATTAGTGACACAAGAAACTAAACTAATGTTATGATCATGAAAAAGACATAAGTAATAAGTCATTCATTAATAAATAACTTGTTCACTCAGACTGATTCTAGAATTAAAAGAAAAAAATAAATTGAATGATGTTGATATTTGCATAGACAGAGAGATTTGTGCAGTTCAAATGCTACAGATGTTCACAGATCACAAGTCTCACATTTAACCTGTACAAATCTCTCTGTCTATGCAAATATCAACATCATCAAACCGATATTTCATTTTAAATGTAGAATTAATTGTAGAAAAAAAAAAGAATTAATTGTAGAAAAAATGACTTCTTCTTTACATTTTATTCATGAGCATAACATTAGTTTAGTTTCTTGTGTCACTAATGTGTTGTCGTTGTTCGTCTTTAAGTTTTGGTCTTTCTTCTCTTGATAGTTGTGGATAAATTGTTCATGAAGAATGTTTATTCTTTGTGGAGTTTGTTGGTTGAAGATTTGGTGATGAAGCAGATTTATGAAGCTGCTGGAGAATACGACACACATTTACACACATATTTTGCCAGAGAAAAGCATTAATAGGAAGTGATGTTTACTCTACATCGTTCCACTTCCGGCCGTTGTGAAAAAAGTGGACTGAGTATCAAGTGTGTTTCTTAGAAGAGAAATTGAGTTTGAAATGTTCACATGGTGACAAGATTATTTAACACACGTGAAGTTTGATTCTGATTCAATAAACATGTGGTTTCTGTTCAGGCGTCTGGAGAAGGAAGTGGAGACATCCCAACAAGAAACGATGGCAGAATTCCATTTGTGGTAAGAAACTATACAAATCACAAAATACTTATATACTGCTGTTACTGCTACTATTACTACTACTCCTACTTTGATACTGCTGCTACTTTTGATCGATTGATTGATTGATTGATTGATTGCATTTATATAGCGCCTTTCAAGATACCTAAACGACTTTTATTTATACAATTACTGATACAAACACCTGGTGCAGGGGCGGAGCCTGAAGTGTGGATACTTGCTATTACTGTCACTACAAGTACTGCTGCTACTACTACCACTACTTCTACTGTTGCTACTTTTTCTCTCCTATATCGTTGATAAAATTATATTTGTACTGTATTTTGGATCTCAGGACTCAGTCTGCCTCAGCACACGTTGCTTTTGGCCCTGGTCCATCTGATAACATCTGTGTGCTCTGTGTCTGTCCACAAACCTCCAAACCTTCCAAACCCCAAACCCCAAACCTCCAAACACCCAGACACCCAAACCTCCAAACCTCCAAACCTCCAAACCTCCAAATCAAACCTGTGTCTGTGTCTGTCCAAACCTCCAAACCAAAAACCTCCAAACCCCCAAACCTCCAAACCTCCAAACACCCAGACACCCAAACCTCCAAACCCCCAAACCCCAGACCAAACAGATCTCCAAACCTCCAAACCCCAAACCTCCAAACCCCCCAGATCTCCAAACCCCAAACCTCCAAACCCCAAACTTCCCAACCCCCCAAACCTCCCAAACCTCCAAACCTCCAAACCCAAACCCCAAACCTCCAAACCCAAAACCCCAAACCTCCAAAAACACGTAAACCTCCAAACCTCTAGACCTCCAAACCTCCAAACCCCCAAATCTGATAACATCTGTGTGCTCTGTGTCTGTCCACAAACCTCCAAACCTCCAAACTCCAAGACCCCCAGACCTCCAACCTCCAGACCCCAGACCCCCAAACCCCCAATCTCCAAACCCCCAGATCTCCAAACCCCCAGACTTCCAAATCCCCAGACCTCCAAACCCCCAGACCTCCAGACCCTCAAACCTCCAAACCCCTAGATCTCCAAACCCCAGACTTCCAAACGCCCAGACTTCCAACCCCCCAGACCCCCAAACCTCCAAACCCCTAGACCACCAAACCCCCAGACCTCCAACCCCTAGACCCCCAAACCCCCAAACCTCCAAACCCCCAGACCTGCAAACCTTCAAACCTCCAAAACCTCCAAACCTCTAAACCCCAATTGCCCAAACACCCAAGCCTCCAAACATCTAGACCTATTAAACATCCAAACCCCAGACCTGCAAGCCCCCAAACATCGAAACCCCAAACCTCCAAACGCCCAAACCTCCAAACCCCAAACATCAAAACCCCCAAAACCTTCAAACCCCCAAACCCCCCAAAACCTCCAAACCCCCAAACCTCCAAACCCCAAACCTTTTTCACCCCCAAACCTCCAAACCCCAAACCCCAAAAACCTCCAAACCTTCAAACCCCCAGATCTCCAAACCTTTAAACCCCCAAACCTCCAAACCCCCAAACCCCCAAACCTCCAAACCCCAAACCCCAAACCTCCAAACCCCAAACCCCCAAACCTCCAAACCTCCAAACCCCAAACCTCCAAACCTCCAAACCCCAAACCTCCAAACCCCCAAACCTCCAAACCCCCAAACCTCCAAACCCCCAAACCCCCAAATGTCCAAACACCTAAACCACTAAACCTCCAAACCCCCAAACCTCTAAACCAGAACTAAACCAGAACTAAACCAGAACTAAACCAGAACTAAACCAGGACTAAACCAGGAACAATACTTGGATGTAACATGACCCGGTCTTTTTCTTTTTTGATAAATACGTTTTGGTTCAGATCCCAATGACACAGAACATTGACTTTACACTGAACAACAGACGGGCTGCGCCGCGCTTTATAATTATGTTTAATGGTGAGATTTGGTGAGATTTGGTGAGATTTGGTGAGATTTGGTGAGATTTGGTGAGATTTGGTAGATTTCCGATGAGTCACGGTCGGAAATCGCAGCACTTTGATGTGGACGCGGCAGAATGTGTGTTCCCAGAGCAGCCGTTGTTCCACGTTTATTTAACTTCAAAATAAAAGACTCAAAGCAATGTACATTTCAGATTTATCTTAAAAATACTCGCTAATCCTTTATTATTAGTCTGTCTACGTCTGCAAGGCTCCAAATGCTCCGTCCCACCTTGTGATGTCACGAGGAGGCGACAACATGTTGTAGTTTTTATTTCATTTGTTGGTGTTTGATGTAGTTTTATTTACCATTCGGTTCATTTTCCGTTAAACTGGCAGGTTTGTGGTTCAAGTCCTTTTCCCTAAGCACAGATACTGCTGTTATGTCATCGGGCAAGACACTTCACACACACAAACACACACTCCAACTGAATCAGGTGTTTCCTGAAGAGTCTGACCCCAAACCCTGAACCTCTCTCTCTCTCTCTCTCTCCATTCTTCTCTCTCCCTTTCTCTTCTCTTTCTCTCTCTCTTCTATGTTTCTTTCTCTCTCTCCCTTCTTCCCTCCCTTCCTCTTTCTCTCTCTCTCTCTCTCTCTCTCTCCCTTCCTCTTCTCTCTCTCTCTCTTCTCTCTCTCCCTTCTTCCCTCCCTTCCTCTCTCTCTCTCTCTCTCTCTTCCTCTTCTCTCTCTTCTTCTCTTTCTCTCTCTCCATTCTTCCCTCCCTTCCTCTTTCCCTCTCTCTCTTCCTCTTCTCTTTCTCTCTCTCTCTCTCTTTTCCTTTCTCTTTCTCTTCTCTCCCCTCCTTTCCTCTCTTCTCTCCTCTCTCTCTTCTTCTTCTCTTTCCCGTCTTTTTTATTTTTCTCTCTCTCTCCCTTCTTCTTCTTCTCTCTATCTCCCTTCCTCTTCTCTTTCTCCCTCCTTGTTCTCTTTCTCCCTTCTTCTCTTTCTCTCTCTCTCTCTCTCTCTCTCTTTCTCTCTCTGTCTCTCCCTTCCTCTTCTCCTTCTCTCTTCTTCTTCGTTTCTTTTTCTCTCCCTTCTCCTTTTCTCTCTCAATTTTTCCTCTCTCTCTCTTCCTTCCTCTTCTCTTTCTCTCTCTCTCTTCTATGTTTCTTTCTCCCTCCCTTCTTCTTCCCACTCTCTCTCTCTCTCTCTCCCCCTTCCTCTTCTCTTTCTCACTCTCTTCTTCTTCTTTCTCTCTTTCCCTTCTTCTTCTTTCTCTCTCCCTTCCTGTTCTCTTCCCCTCTCTCTTCTTTGTCTTTTTCTCTCTCTTATTTTCCTCTTTCTCCCTTCCTCTTCTTTCTCTCAATCCCTTCTTCTTCTCCTCTCTCTCTCTCTCTCTCTCTCTCCCTCTTCTCTCTCTCTTCCTTCTTTTTCTCTTTCTCTCTCAGCCTTCTTATTTTCTTCTTTGTCTTCCTCTTTTCTCTCTGTCTCTTCCTTTTCTTTCTCTCTCTCTCTTCTATGTTTCTTTCTCCCTTCTTTCCTCTTTCTCTCTCTCTCCCTCCCTTCCTCTTCTCTTTCTCACTCCTTTCTTCTCTTTCTCTCCCTTCTTCATCTTCTTCTCTCTCCCTTCTTCTTCTCTTCCACTCTCTCTTCTTCTTTCTCTTTCTCTCTCTCCCGTCTTTTTATTTTTTCTCTTTCTCCATTCCTCTTCTTTCTCTCACTCCCTTCTACACCTCCTCTCTCCCCCTCCTCTTCTCTTTCTCTCTCTCGCTCTCCTTTCTTATTTTCTTTCTCTCTCTCCTTTCTTCTTCCTCTTCTCTCTCTCTCTCTCTCCTTTCCTTTTCTCTCTCTCTCTTGATCTCTTTCTCCCTTCCTCTTCTCTTTCTCCCTTCCTCCTCTCTTTCTCCCCTTTTCTTCGCTTTCTCTCTCTCTCCCTTTTCTTCTCTCTCTCTCCCCCCTCCATCTTTTCTCTCTCCTCTCTCTCTTGCTCTTTTTCCCTTTTGCTCTCTTTCCGTCTCCCTCTCTCTCCTGATTACAGTGATGTCCCTCTCTGCCCTTCTCTCTCTCTCTCTCTCTTTCTCTCTCTTCTCTCTCTCTTGATTACAGTCTTTTATTTTAAAAACAGATGTACATTTGCTTTTCATCTGAGTCGCTTCAGGCTGTGAGTCTGACTTCCTCTCTGCTACCACTCTTTCCCTCTTTCACCCCACTTTTCCCTCCCTCCTTCTCTCTCTGTCCCTGACCTTCTCTTACCTTTCTTCTCTCTCTCTCTTCCCTCCTTTTCATCCTCTCATCTCTCTCTCTCTCTGTTTCTCAGAATAAAAAAGTGCATCAGTTCTTTACACGGGGCTTTTCCCTCTGTCACATTCAATATCCGTGTCAGGAAAATCACCTCTTCCTCTCTTCCTCTCACTCTTTCTCTCCCCCTCTTCCTGTCTCCCTCTCTCCTCCTGTCCCTCTCTCTTTCTACCTCTCTCTCTCCTCCCCTTCTTGCCTCCTCCTCTTGCCCTCTCCCCCTCCCTTTCTTCTCTTCTCTCTCATTCTCTCTCCACCTCTCTCCCTCTCTCTTCCCTTCCTCCTCATTCTTTCCCCCTCTCTACTGCTCTCTCTCTCTCTTGCTCACCTCTCTCTCCCCCGTCTCCCTCTCTTCCTCTTTAGCTCCTCATTCTCTCCCTCTCCCTCTCTCTCTCTCTCTCTCCCTCACCATTCTTTCCTCTTCTCTCTCTTCTCCTCCTCCCCCTCTCTCTCTCCCTCCTTATCTCTTCCCCCTCTCTCCTCCTCTCTCTCTCCCTCTCTCCCTCCTCATTCTACTCTCCACCTCTTCATCTCTCCCTCCTCAACCCCCTTCTCTCCCTCTCTCTCCCTCCCTCTCTCTCTCTCTCTCTCTCTCTTCTCCCCTTCTCTTCTCTCCTCTCCCTCTCTTCTGTCTCACTCTCTTCTCTCCTCACTTCTCTTCTCTTCTTTCCCTCTCTTCTCTTATCTCCTCTCTCTCTCCTCTCCTCTCCTCTTCTCTTCTCTCCTCTCTCCCTCTCTTCTCTTCTCTTCTCTTCTCTCCTCTTCTCTCCCTCTCTTCTCTCTTCTTCTCTTCTCTTCTCTTCTCTCTCTCT